AGAAAGGCAGAAAGGTGCCGAGCCTTGGAATGGCTCGACGAGCTCCGGGGACCTCGACGATTCGTCTGACGAACAAAAACCTCGGGACGAGATCTCATTGTTAAAGCCAGGATCGAAACACTGACCAATCGAGCCTCGCACGAAGTAACCATGCTTGTGGACAGCGGATGTACCGGAAGCTCGATCAATCGAGCCTTCGTAGAAAAAAACCATATCCCAACCCACGCCACAGCTGCCCCCATCCCGGTCTTCAATGCGGATGGAACAAAAAATCAAGCTGGGTCCATTACCGAATTCGTCGAACTCCGATTAACCATCGGAGACCATGCCGAACGAATTGACCTTGCGGTCACGGATCTCGGATCCAAGGAAGTCTTCCTTGGACACGACTGGTTGATAAGGCACAACCCGCTTATCAACTGGAAAACCGGACGAATTACGTTCGCCAGGTGTAGGTGTCGGAAGATCCCGTACGAATTGCCCGACGAAGATCCAGAAGATAGGTGGGACGAGGAGATGGAGGACGGAGAAACCATCCTGGCCGTCGACTTGCAGAAGGAGATCCACATTCGGGCAGTACATCATGCCAACAACCTAGCAGCAAAGGCAAACGAAGGGAAGGAGGAAAAGACGTTCGAAGAGATGGTGCCAGAGTGGGCACGGGACTTCCGAGACCTCTTCGAAAAAGAGAGTTTCGACGAGCTCCCAGATCCGAAACCTTGGGATCATGCCATCGAACTAATCCCTAATGCCAATGCTAACCTGGATTGCAAAACCTATCCCCTCGGCAACCAGGAACAACAGGAACTCGACAAGTTTCTTGATGAGAATCTCTCCTCCAGACGAATCCGACCATCGAAATCTCCCATGGCCTCGCCCTTCTTCTTCGTAAAGAAAAAGGACGGCAAACTCCGACCCGTCCAAGACTACCGGAAACTCAATGAGATGACGATCAAGAACCGGTACCCCTTACCCTTGATCTCGGAACTAATGGATAAACTCCGAGGGGCCAAGTATTACACCAAGCTTGATGTACGTTGGGGGTACAACAACGTCCGAATCAAGGAGGGAGACAAATGGAAGGCGGCATTCAGGACTAACCGAGGGCTCTTTGAACCCACGGTGATGTTCTTCGGCTTGACTAACTCCCTGGCCACCTTCCAGTGGATGATGAATGACATCTTCAAAGACCTCATTGCCACTGGGAAGGTCACCATTTACTTGGATGATATTCTCATCATGTCCAAGACGAAAGAGGAACACCGGAGCCTAGTCCGACGAGTACTCGCCCTCATGAGGAAACACAAGCTATTCCTCAAGGTGGAAAAATGCGAATTTGAGGTACTGGAAACCGAGTACCTCGGGGTGATCATCAGTGAAGGGAGCATTCGCATGGACCCGATAAAGGTCGCAGGGGTAGTAGATTGGCCGACCCCAACCAAGAAAAAGGAGTTACAATCTTTTCTTGGTTTCACCAACTTCTATCGGCGGTTCATACGGGACTACAGCAGGATCGTCCGTCCTATGACACAACTCACCGGCAACGCCCCATGGGGATGGGGCGCCCCTCAACAGTACGCGTTCGAAGACTTAAAACGACGACTGGCGGAGGATGTAATCCTCGCCATTCCGTCCCAAGAAGGCAGGTTCCGTGTCGAAGCCGATTCAAGTGAGGGAGCTATCGGCGCCGTCTTATCACAGGAACAGGATGGGAAGTGGCGACCTGTCGCTTTCCTCTCAAAGGCATTGACAGTAACGGAAAGGAATTACGAGATATACGACAAGGAGTTGCTCGCCATAATGCTCGCCCTCGAAGAATGGCGTCACTACCTGATCGGGGCGGCAGAAACCTTCGAGATCTGGACTGATCACCAGAATCTCAGGTACTTCAGACAACCTCAAAAGTTAAACCGACGGCAAGCCCGATGGGTCACGGAACTTGCTCAATATGAGTACACGCTTCACCACAAGGCAGGGGTCGCAAACAAGAAAGCAGACCTCCTTTCCCGTCGGGCAGACCACGATCAAGGAGGGGACGACAATCAGGGAGTCGTTATCCTTCGCCCCGAACACTTTCGGGCAATGATAATGCCCACGGAGGAAGAGATACACGAACAAATCAAAAGTGCGACTCGAGACCCACACCAATGGGACCAACGAATCGCCGCCTCGCTCAACCATGAACGAGGACTAATAAAGAAGGAGGGGATGATCCACTATAACAGACGGATCTACATTCCACGCATCCAAAGCCTTCGTGGCGACATTATCACCATGCACCACGACCATGCCATGGCAGGACACCCAGGCATTGCCAAGACGAAAGAACTCGTCCTGCAAAATTACTGGTGGCCTAAACTCACCAATGACGTTACAGCATACGTCAAAGCCTGCGAGACCTGCCAAAGGGGGAAGGCGTCCACACAACCGAAAGCAGCTCCGCTACACCCTAATGAAGTACCAGTACAACCATGGACCCATATATCCGTGGACATGATCACAGGCTTACCTGACTGCAACGGCTATGACACGATCATCGTCATAGTCGATCGCTTCTCCAAGGCAATCATTCCGATAGCGTGCTCGACGGAATTGAATTCGGAAGGGTGGGCAAAACTCCTATGAGATGAGGTGTACGCAAAATATGGGATGCCACAAGTCGTCATCTCGGACCACGGACCACAATTCGTTTCCAAATTCCTTACCGACCTATACAAGTTATTAAACATAAAACCCAACGCATCCACAGCATACCATCCACAGACGGATGGGCAGACCGAACGCGCAAATCAGGAAGTTGAAAAATACCTCCGACTATTTATCAACCACAGGCAGGACGATTGGGTCGAATGGCTCGCGCTCGCGGCCTTCCAACACAACAACAGAGTCCACTCCGCCACGGGCCTTACCCCCTTCTTTATAAACCACGGCAGACATCCTTACCTGACGCAGACAAGTCGCTACAAAACGACGACTCCAGCCTCCACGAACTTCGCCGCGACTATGGAAAAAATACACGCAGAGACAAAGAAGGCGCTCGATAAAGCGGCGACAACCATGAAACAACAGTACGATAAACACCGACGCCCTGCATGCGAGTACCACACCCATGACAAGGTGTGACTAGATACAACAAACCTTCACCTGCCACGGCCTAAACGAAAACTGGCCGACAAGCGCACCGGACCCTTTCCAATCCTTGCGAAAGTTGGCGAATCAGCCTACAAACTGCGTTTACCAACCACATGGAAAATTCACGACGTATTCAACGAGTCTTTATTAACACCATACATCGCGCCGGCCTTCCCCAACCAAGAACGACCTCCTCCACCACCCCCCGAACTGATCGATGACGAAGAGCACTACGAAATCGACCAAGTACTAAACCATAAACTACGAAAAGTAAAAGCCCGCGGGGGCGGCACAACAACAACGGTCGATTACCTTGTCAGCTGGAAGGGCTATGGACCGGAATCCAATCAATGGATCAACGAAAAATACATGAACGCCGACACAGCAATACACGACTATGAACTGTCCCTTAATTAAGCCATCGGGACGATGGTCTTAAGCGGGGGGTAATGTTACGATTTATTCCTGTTTTCTTTCCTTTTACCCCTATTTATGCTAAGTCAGAAGGCACAAGACCGTGGGAAGCTTAGTCAGCACAACTAAACCCTCCCATCGTTACACTATGATGGTCGCGCTCAACGACATACAATCACCCTTTTATGTACAGTAGCGACGCTCAAGGACAATGAGCACAATGGACGCAGACACACACAATAGGCAGTAGTATAATTAGCAGATGACGACACAGTATTTAAGGACCATAGCTCTCGCTGGGATACCCCAGCTTCGAGCTAAAGTTTATTCACACCATTCTACCTCGAGTCTACTTCTGACCTTGAGTCACACCGTTCGGATATACATATAAGTGAACTCAGGTGATTCCTCGAAGTGCGAAGGAACATCTGTTTATCACGTGTATCAGTCCATGTGACGCTTGGGCTTAACAGAATGTCTGACTGTAACAGTGTCAGTACTCCTCTTGATCCACACACTAAGCTATCCAGCTCAATGTCCCCTGCTACTCCAGAGGAATAGGAAACCATGTGGCATATCCCATATCTCCAGATCCTTGGCTCTGTAGCATACCTGGCCATCGCCACTCATCCTGACATAGCTTTTGCAGTCAGTGTCCTATCATGTTTCAGCAAAAACCCTGGATTGAGGCATTGGGAGACCCTGAAACGCCTCCTCAGATACATAAAGGGAACAATCGACCTAAAATTGACATATTCACCTGATGCCACAAACCCAGACCTGTTCAAAACATACACAGATGCAGATCATGGTGGAAACCTAGACAATGAGCACTTGACCTCAGGATATGTTGTCAAGATGGGCACAGGTGCAGTCAGCTGGATGAGCCAGCTACAATCTATAGTAACCTTATCAACCACAGAGGCCGAATATGTGGCTGCTGTCTCTGCTGGACAGGAAATTCTGTGGCTGCAAAATCTGTTCACAGAATTTGGCTTCCATCATCTGTCACCATCCCCACTGCTGATTGACAACCAGTCTGCTCTCTCTGTCACTCACAATCCTGATCATCACAGTCATGTCAAACATCTTGACCTCCACTTCTACTGGTTACAAGACAAGGTTGAGCAGGAGCACATGCACATTGAACATCTTCACACAGAAGACATGCCTGCTGACATCTTCACAAAGGCCTTAGGGAAGGAGAAGATGACTCACATGATCAGGCTGTTGGGTCTTGAACTCTGAGAAGTATTGTGTCAAGGGGGAGTGTTGCAGGATGACACAAGTACCTGATGTCAACCTTATATAAGCATAGACAGTTTTGTCCTGAGTCGATGGTCAATTGCCTTTAAGCAATTGACCATCATACTCAGTCTGGCCTATTATCCACTGCATAAAAGTAACCTGCCTGCAACATGGTCATGGTCAGTTTCGGGGGGGTGGGTGGGATTATGGCGACTACTATCTATCGCCAACAGGACTTCCCAAGATACGTTCCGGGGATCATGGCAACGATCTCCCTACAGGTGTTTCTGTTGTTTTTGCTCGGTGGAATGACGCTGCACTTTTGGTATGAGAATAAGAGGGCGAAGCGGAGGGAAGACAGTTGGGTTGGGGTATTTTTATACGTGCTGTGATTGTGTGGATCGGAAGGCGCGATGTCGGACTTAATCTTACAAGTAAAGTAAAGTAAAAATAATGTTTAGTACTCTAGACTCTACATTGTGGAGATGGGAGTCACCATGAGTGGTATCCCCGTTTTTATAATCTAGGGAGCCTCGTCTTCGCCGAGCTTTCCGAGTGTGGGGAGCTCGCTGACAAGCCACTGAAGGAGGGGCTCGAGGAAGGTGTCGGAAGGTGAATCAGCTGCCCATGATCACCCCTGGGATCAAGGCATTCGCTCGCGCGCTCGAAAAGGGATTTGCGTTCAGTGTTACAGCCGAAAGATGTCGCCTGTTCGTAGGTTGCATAAATCGTGTGGTTGATAATATTGTAGCACCCATACAGGTGAATTGGATTTCTTCCTTGGATGGGTGGCTCTAAGGCGCGTAACTGTACAGCTGTGGTGGAACATCAGTTCAGTAGATGCTCATAGACACTCGGCACTCGGTACTCGGGTCTTTGCGAAATGGGTCTGAACGTCGAAAGACGACAATGCATGAAAAACGATTCAAGGGACGGGTGGGCTTGTCTTCATAATGAATTTGGCTACACATTTTAAAGTGCTACGGAACAGAGCGTAGGCATCTGCGATGGTACTGCACGAGAACGGAATTATGTTTCTATAGCCTTCACCTAAGGAATAATTTAAGGTAGCCGAAGAAATGTTGAAACTGCAGCATACTGTTACCCTACTACACCCGAAGATGTAATCAACACTTCTGTCCTAGGCTGGCCGCTTGGTGTACCCTGCTTCTCAATCTCCTTCACCAAATCTATGCCTTCAACAACCTCTCCGAAAACAACGTGACGACCATCCAACTACAGAAGAATCAGCCTCATAACAATGTAGACAGAGGACAGATGACAGACCCAAGGTGTTTTTACGGTCGTGACAAAGAACTGTACGGATGATTAGAAAATACCGCAGAACTGACGAGTCATGGCATGCCTGGGATCCATTGGTATGAGCACCAGCGTTGGCCATTGACAGAAGGCCGGGCTTTGTATGCTTCAACTGGAAGTTCTCATCTGCATTCTCAATTAGATTGCGTGGGCTACATGAGAGCAACGAAGAAACGGCGCACCCTTGAACTTGGCTCCGTAAATCGACTTTCCACCGGTCCCGTTATGTGCCGTGAAGTCGCCGCCTTGAATCATGAACTACAGCACGCGAGCATGAGAAAGAGCACCGCAAGCAGAGAGAAAATGCTGGCTCACATCAGGAATTATCCGATGGAATCCACACCCAGCATATCCAAATCCGTGCTCGCCCGTCGCCAGCTCCCTGAAATTCTTCGCAGTCTTTGGAACAACGTCATCATAGAGCTTGAAAATGATCCGTCCTGCGGGCTTGGGACCGATAGAGATGTCGAACTTGGCCATATTAGCGTCAGATTGTTCGCTGCTCGATTGTACACCGCTCACTCACGAAGACGTTCGCCCTACGAAAACAAGGTAAAATATCAGCAGGGCACTACCGATAGGTAGTAATACATACAGAGACTTTCCGGCGCTCGCTGTGGACATGAATCGACGCAAGTAGGACATGATGTTGAAGCAAAAGGAAAAGCGGCAGTGGCAGTGATAGTAATACACTCAGGCAAAAAAAAGACGGAAGCACGTGATGCGATAACGCCGCGTTGATCGCGTCTGTGGCGTGGGAGTGACTTGCCACGCCAAGCCTCAGGCCTGCGAGCGCACGTCCTTAAGACTTGATAGGTCCTCAAGCTCAAATAGCGTTACGAGCCATTGCATGAACTCACACTAGCTCCAGTAGAATGTTACTACCAAGCATGCTGCCATTGTGCCTTCATTTGGATGAAATTATAGAATGCCACATACAATAGCACCTTCGCGTTTCGCTGCAGTGGCACGCTCGTAGCTCTCCATCAGTGATCTGATTGGCTAACGCGGAACAGTCTATACATCTCGTTGGATGAAGATGCGCATGAGATGCATGAGTTTGACCCTGGGAGAACATGAAAGTGTATTCTTTCGAAGGCTGCTTGTGAGAATTTACAGCTTCAGCGCACCAGATAGTACGATTGAAGCATGTGGCCACAACACAGAGATCAGTAGTACACTCTATCACCCAGACATCAGAATGCCTCGTCCTCTATTTTCACTGTCTTATATCCCAGGAAAGAAGCCACGATTTCGTTCCCTCCTGACATCCATGAGCCGTGCTTGTACACTGGGATGTTGGTCAGGTCTTGCGTCGTCTCCTGCTTAAGGGCTGTGCGACGTCACCGTATTGTACGGTTGTTGGTAACCTTTATACGGAAGACGGACTGAAGCCGAACGTGCCCTAATTCTCCTGATGTTACAGTTGAACAACACGTTTATATCTCCTCTGAGAAACTGATCTGTCCTTTCCTCAGAAGGTCTCTTCCCGTGCTTGTACAGCTATTCATGTAGGTGCGTCCTTTCGCTTGGGCTTCCTGCATCAGTTAAATAGTCTCGTACAAATGAATGATTTGACAAGGTTCATGGATACCGGCCGCTTTCGACTGCCGACACAGATAAACCTCCGATTGAAGCCAGAACTGGATCCCCATTACGTCTTCGGCAGTTTCCATTATACCAGAGCTGAGTCGTTATTCCATCATTGCGACTAGAGTTGATTACCTTCATGGCCCTACCTCATATCTTCATCGACTCTAGCCCCTTTGACTGACCTGTCCGGTATTTGATGATTATTTCTCTTTCACTAGGTTTGCTGCAGATTTGCTCGGCGCAGGCTCAGTATGTTTTACATCCGATACTCGTGACCAACCAGCCGTGCTTCAATAAATGACATCAGCGTTGAACATTCCGCTATACATTGCGCTTCGAGTCGTAAAAAAGACTTCGACTAAGGATATCAATTATATGGATTAAGTGTCTCAGTACGTTCAAGTCTTGCTGCAATATTGTGCTCTCACAGAGATCGCAGATTCCTCGATGTCGATCCCAGATGACAAATTCATATTGAAACAAGCCTCTCGAGGCGGATTTGATCAATATAATCAGCCTTCGTCCCTTTCATGTATCTGCGGCCGATGTATCCACTCATAAGTCAAACCACAAGCCTCGTGAGTCTCATAATAATCTGGCAAGCAAGGATTTCTTTTCTCGACAGATTATAGTCATTGGCCAATATTTGATATCGAACGCATAGCGGTAGCAGCAGCCACGCGTGCCCAACGAAGCTGTGGACGTACCTGTATCCTGTTAGAGTGAGGGGCGTCAAAACTCTCCGCCAAGGCTCAGATACGGCGAATTTAACCGGTGTTGATCACGACCCATGTGTGTGTCAGGACCGCGATTCTCACGTATAAAGTATATAAAGCGTATCCTGGCTCGCTCCCCTCGCTACTGCGTCTCATCCAACATGTTCAAGTATTTGTTACTCGCACTTGCAATCTCCCTCCCCGTCTTTTCTAAGGCTTTGGATGATTCCTGCCCGTGTGCCTTAGCCCGGGTACTCAGTCCAAAGTTCTCATTCTCTTTCAATATTAACCACAAATATCCGTAGGCTGTCGCCGTCTTAAAAGGACCATCTATAGTAACTGGAACTGTCATATTCACCCAATGCGCATGCGACAAGGACGGCTCCGAGCCAGTTCATGTGGAGGGGCGTATCCAAGGCCTCACTCCTAATGCACTGCGAGGGTTCCATGTCCAGTACGCTCATCGTCTCCTTTCCTCTCTTGTACTGATAATGCCGTAGCCAATATGGGAACCTCACAGATGGCTGCACGTCTGCAGGAGAACATTGGAATCCCTTCAACGCCACGCATGGAGGTCTCAAGGCTCCCATAAATAAGAGACACGCAGGCGACCTCGGAAATATTGAGTCTAATGGAAACGGTGTAGCGGTTTTCGACATAGCTAATGATCTCATGACACTCAAAGGACCACTGAGCATCGTTGGGTACGTTCCACTGCACGAGCTCGGCAGATGGATTATTGACTTATTTGCGCAGCCGTACCATTGTCGTTCATGCGGGTACGGATGACTTGGGCAAAGGCAATGCTACGTCGCTTATAAATGGCAATTCGGGTGCCAGATCCGCATGCGGGGTCATTGCTATTGGTACAAAGGATTGACATTTTCTGATAAAGAGAACCCTTTCAGGATGGGCGTAGTCTTCTTATTTACAAATGGACATGGACCTTTTTTTTTGTACGAATACGCCATTGTTACACGCGTTCTCTGGACTGTGCCTAAAATAACTCATACACGAATTTATGGGTCCTTTGCCTAGCAGCCACGTTAACGCCAACAACAAGTGTTACTTTGTTTCGATTCAGAACAATGTTGATGATGACAGGTCGCAACGTGAGGGGCCCAAGTAATCTTTATTTAAGGTGGGGTTCTCTCTCTGCCCATCTCTCATATTCGCCCCTCATGAGGAATCATCCAAAGAGACTCCGAGGGAAGCCTGCAGTCGGCAAGGAGTTTCCAATACCCATTCCACATCTTACTTCCCCACAAACTTTCCTTTGCAAGGATACACTGGAAAACCAAATTATCAGACATGGCTCACATCCTTGTCTCTGCAGTGTGTATGGTTCTGGAGGGTGCAAGTGGCATTTCTTCTATCCATACCAGATGATCATTGCCATGCACCAAGTTCTTCCATTCCAGGACTTTTGTGAACTGTCATTATGAGCATTATCAGTCTTGATTTCTCCTGTTATACTGATGAATTTTCTACTAGTGGCAGTGGCACATGTTTGCTCTCAGAACCAAATCCCAAAACACTCACAGACTCACAGAGGGAGACTTTCTTTGTGAAGCCTTTGCACACAAATGAAGACCTCACATTTGCTATTATCAAAATGCTCACTTTCTCATCTCCAGCATCCCAAGGACCTTGGGCTGAGAACCAAGGAGACAGAATTGTTTGTTTAGGGTGTGGATGTCGAAGTGACCTGGGTACTTAGCCAGAACATCATGATTCTTGTTCAGGTATAGAAGATGCAATCTTGAGATCTGTTGTTGATGTATGGGAAATTGAGGCACAGAAGGTGAAGTCTTAAGCTTGGGCCATAACACAGTGGCTGTTGGAATAGAAATATACTGTGCAAAATTAAGAGAGTACTCCAAGGATTGATTGGCTTGCATAGCTAGTCAGATGTGCTCAAGACTTCATGTTATGCATCGTGACCAGTTGTGTTACTGACAAATCATGATCACATGCTTTTGTCATAGTGGCACTACAATCACATATCTATTCAAGCCCTGTCCTTTACAGTGAATTGCAACTGTCATTGAGTTAATGTTGGAGCTCACACATCATGGGAGTGAAAGCAAATAAAGTACTCATGTTTCAGAAAGAAATAAGAGATATTCAACCATATTACTCTAAGAAAGTGATGCACATTTGTAGCACTTAGTAGAATACACCATTAGATATAACATAGACCTTACACAGCATAGCAATAAGTGGAAACATGGTGAACAATCACTGTATCTAGTAGAATACACTGCTAGATATAATGTAGACTACAGGATATTGGTCAGTGAGATATATGAAGTAATACAAGTAGATACTCACTCTCACACAGTGTAATGATAAGCAGAAATGCAGTGAGAGTGCTCAACAGATGGCAGTCAGTATATATTGTCCATCCTGACATAAAGGAGTATTGAGCTTAGCCAGCAGGATATGACAGAGCTTCTGCTTACTAATCTAACACTCTATCTCAAACAGAGTGAAGTCCAAGCTCAGTAGCAAAGTGCTTCACCTTGGCTGAAGGTAAAGGCTTGGTGGGAGCATCAGCAACCATGTCCTCAGTAGGACAATAAACAAGATGAAGAGAGCCTTCACTGATGACTCAGTGAATATCAATGTGCTTGATTTGAGCATGATATTGATGATCTTTTGAGAGTGCAATGGTGGAATGATTGTCAGAGAATGAAGTTGTAGCCTCAGTAATCAGTGAGAAAACTTGAGAGAGCAGACTGTGAAGTCAGAGTACCTCCTTTGATGCATGTGTTACAGCTACATGTTCAGACTCCATAGTTGAAAGTGAGACAATCTTCTGCTTTTAGATGATCACAAAACAGCTCTACCATTCAGCATAAAGGTGTATCCAGTAATGGCATGCCTGTTCTTGGCCATACTCTCATCAGCATCCACATATCCATGCAAAACTCTTCCATTTCCTTCAAATGTCAACCAGTAATCCCTCATGCTCTTCAGATAGTGAAAGATGTTCTTTACAGCTCTCCAATGGGCCTCTGCAGCAGCTGTTAAGTATTTTGAGACTGTTGTCATGGCAAATGTGATGTCAGAGCATGTCCTGAGCATAACCCAGATTAAAGAGCCAACAGATTCCCTGTAAGAGACATCTCTTATGGCTGCAATTTCTCAGATAGAGGCTGGTGCAGGAAAGAAAGACAAGCAGAGATTAACATCCACTGGTATAGAGATTAGCTTAAAATCTTCAAAGCTATAGCAATGAACAATGGTGTTGGTGTATGAGCATTGAGAGAGGGAAATAGAGTATGATCTTGATGCTGAGAATCCAGTGCAGCTCCTCCAAGTCCATGACTTCCATGTATTTTGCCATTCCCTCCTTTACCTCTTGTATTAGATGCAATAATGATGCTGTGATAGTGCAGTCATCAACATGGACAGCAATGACAGTCAAGTTTTTGCCCTCCTGCTTGTAAAACACAGCTTGATCAATGTCACACTGCTTGAATCCTAGCTTCACCACCAAAATATCAATGAGACATTGATACCAGTGATGCTCACTCTGATTTAAATCATACAGAGTCTTTATGAGATGACAGACTTGACCAGGATGAAAGCCAGACTCAAGATAACTAGGAGGTTGATGCATATAAATGATTTCTTCATTGGTGAGCTTTCTATTCAAGTATGCACCCTTGATATCAACTTGATAGAGCTCTAGGTCAAGTGCTGCTGCCATAGCAAGGATAGAATGGATTGATGCTAGTCTTGCAACAGGAGCATAAGTGTTAAAGTAGTTGATGCCAGGTACTTGTGAGAACCCTTGTGCTACCAAACAAGCTTTGAACTTGACTATGCCTCTCTCAGCATCCTTCTTGATTTAAAAGACCCACTTAGAGCCCACAACATTTGCTCCAACTGGTTTGTCAACAATCTCCCAAGTCTCTGCAGTCTTCAGTATTGCAAGCTCTTCCTGTATTGCACCTTCCCACAAAGGCCAATCAGACTGATGCTTCACTTCAGCTAGACTGCATGGCTCTAAGGCTTCTGCATCAGCTTTTGAAATGACCATGGCATACTCCTCAAGAAAGTCAGCATCCTTAAGTATCATCAATCAATCTCCCTCTATTTCTCCCTCAAACTCAAGAGGTTCATTGTTTTCATTGACAGCTAGTAACTGAACACTGACAGATACCACAGGATCACTTGGACATGCTGATACACTGCCTTTGCCAGAGATAAGGTCTAATACCCACTGGCTAGGCTTTTAAGTGCATCTAGAATGGGTTTCTTCAACTATGGATTGGTCTGTAGGCTGAGCTTTGAGAGTAGATGACACCTGTGATGGCTTTGCAGTAGATAGATTGGACTGAGTTTTTAGCATCAATAGAATCTTGTATAGCTCAATGTCTTCCTCCCCTTCAAGATCATCAGCAGCAATATGAGTTGTGTTGAAATAGATATTTCACTTGATGGACACCATCTTACTCTCTGTCCAGTAGACATAGCATCCATTGCTTGTTTCATTGAATCAAATCCACCAACCCTCATATACATGGCCACTCAGCTTTATAGTCTTAGTCTCAAGGCATACCTAGCACTTCTCTCCTTATTCCCATGACCCTTTTAGATCTGGCTTCTTCCTAGTGATAGCCTTATAAGGAGTTATCTCATTTAGAGCATTTATTGATGTTCTGTTGAAAACTCAGATAGCATGGTGAACAGCCTCAGCCTATAGAAAGTGAGGTAAGCTGCTCAAATGCAGCATAGCTCTGACCTTTTTGATAATTATATGATTGTTCCTTTCAGCCACTCCATTGTGCTGTGGCATATCATGCACAGTCATTTTTCTTGCTGTGCTAGCAGTTTTCAGATGTGAGACAAACACTTTGTTGAAGTATTCACCTCCATGGTCTGAATAGAGGATTTTTACTGGATGGTCATGCTGAATATGGATGCAAGCTTCATAGACCTTGTATGCCATGAAAACTTCACTCTTCTGATGTAAGAGTTTAAGATAAGCCTAATGAGTGCTGTTGTCAATAAAGAAGATAAAGTAATAGCATTTATATAGAGATTCTACAGGTGCAGATTCTCATAAATCTGAGTGAATTTCACCTCTGATATTAGTCACATGTTCTCTCCTTTGAGCCTTAGACACTAGCTTTTGTGTAGCCTTAGCATAGACACATGACTTGCAGAACTGTGGTTCTCCAGATAACTTATTGAGCTTTCTCCTGGTTACAAAGCCTTTTTCCATTAGATGATGAGCAACTTTGGGTGAAATGTGGCCTATATGATAGTGTAATTGGTCTAAGATAAGTACCTCCTCAGCTGCTTCAGCTAAATCTCCCTCATGGCAGACCCAATATAGGTCACTATTGTCCTTTGAGACAATCCCAACTATCTTCTCATCTGATGCATGGATAGTGCATTTTCTGCCACTGAAAGTCAACTTGAAACCAAGATCATCAAGTCAGCCAACTGAGATGAGTATATAGCCAACTCTGGGAGAGTATATGACCTTAGTGAGTTGCAAGTTGCTTGCATTTGTGCTGTTTGGCCTATCAATGCTCATCATGCCCTTTCCAGCTGCAGAAAATTTTGAATGTTTGCAGCACAGAATGCTTTAGGCAGGACAGACTGGAATAAGTTGAAATCCTTGTGGTAGGAGGAAATATAGCATGTGCAGCCAGAGTCATAGAGTTCAGTATGAATTTAAACATCAGGTGACTTTACAGCATTGATAATAGCTGTGACTGACTCTTCAGAAGCAGATAATTTCTCTAAAGTCAGCATGCCTGACATGGCATCCAATTGCCAGTCAATAAAGGAGTTCACATCACTCCAGTCAACATCTGAGGATAATGCACTGCTCAGCTCATCCTATGACTCATCACC